ATCACCTCCCTCCTCCTCGGCCCTCCCCTCCTCCTCGCCCCCTCCCACTCCTCCCCCCCCACACACCACACACACTCCCCACACCCCCTCCACTCCCCACACTCCCCCCACACCTGCAGGTCCTCCACCGCGACCTCTCCGCCTCCAACGTCTTTCTCTCTGCGGCGGGCGACATCAAGGTCGGCGACTTTGGCCTCTCGAAGACCACGGGCGTCAACGCGTCCCGCTCCGCGCTGGCGACGACGATGTGCGGCACGCCAAACTACTGCTCGCCCGAGCTCATCAACGGCGAGCCGTACGGCGCCGCCTCCGACGTGTGGGCCATCGGGTTGATTGCGTACCAGCTCTTCACGCTGAGGCACCCCTTCGAGGCCTCCTCCGTCTCGCAGCTCTTCCGCCTCATCTGCGCCGGCAAGGTCGACACGGCCGCCCTCGCGGCCGCCCCCTTCCCGCCCGAGCTCACCTGCATCGCGGACACCCGCCACCTGCTCCACCCCAACGCCGCGCTCCGCATGCGGCTCGTCGAGCTGCTGGCGCTGCCCGCCCTCCGCTCCGCGTCGCCGAGGCAGTGAGCCGCCAGGCCCCTCGCGCCAGGCCCCTCGCGCCAGGCCCCTCGCGCCCTCTCCCCACCCCCCGACCGCGGGGTGGTGTACCCTTTTCCCTCTCCGAGTCTCCTGCCAGAGACCGATGTACCACGCCGCATGCTCCGTGGGTCTTTAGCTCGACCCCGGGCGCATGCGCATGCATGAATGTTGCGTCGTGCCCCGCCCCGCGTTTGCTCGCCGGCATCGTGTGTGCGTCTCTCTCCGCTTGCTAGTGGGCGCGCCGGAGAGAGATTTTGTTGTGCGCGCACACACACGCATGTGGCGAGTCTGCGCGTGATTGAGGCGGCGGAGGCGATTATTGCCTGATGCCAGATGCCTCTTTTTTTACGGGGTTGTAGTTGTACACGAGATGAACGAGAACTTCGGCAGAATCGCGGGCTCAACCTCGCAGAAGCATACTCTACGTGGCTGGGTTCACAGCGATTGTAGGAAAATTGGGAAACCACCCTTGACGGTCGCGGCCTTCCGACTCGCGCCTTCGCCTCACTGGCACTATTGTAGCCCTGGCCGGTGCGCGTGCGGAGTTGAAGTTCCGGAGTGAAAATTCGAACGCGTTCTCTCACGGTGACCAAAAAATGTCCGCCTCTCAGAGGCACCTCCGGAGGCAGGCCGCTGCACGCTGGCGACACAGCTCCAGCTGTCGAACTGACCCGCAGCTCCTTTCAGAGCGGGAACTGTGACAAAAGTTGACTGAGGCGGTTGTCAGGAATCATCATACGGATCACATTGTGGCTCTTTCATGACGGGAGACCGCCCGACCACTCCTGGGTGGCACTGCCACCGGTGTCGCTCGACGTCCTGTCGACAGCGTGCCGACAGCGACACAGACCATGTGGGACGCGTCGAGTCGAGTATCGACCTCTACTGCTTACCCAGCCTTCGACGTTGGGCCAGGTACCAATTTTGTCGAATTTATTTCAAAGTCTGCAGGCGCGGAGCGCCTGCGAAAATTTTTTGAAGAAATTTGCGGCCGGGCCTGATTTCAACAAGATCTTTCAAATCTGCGGTGTGGAGTTGGGGGGTGGGTTAGGTAGGGTTGTTATAGGGTTAGGGTCAGGGTTAGTCTTGTTGTGTCTGTATATGCCAGCGTTGCAGGGTTCTGCGCTGTGATCTGGCCCCACAGCGCCGACGACTAAGACTCAGCCCCGCACGCTGACCTAGGGTTAGGGTTAGGGTTAGGGTTAGGGTTAGGGTTAGGGTTAGTCTTCTTGTGTTTGTATGCCAGCGTTGCAGAGTTCTGCGCTGGGATCTGGCCCCAGCGCCGACGAGTAAGACTCAGCACCGCACGCTGACCCCACCAAATGCCGCCTCAGGGCGCCAGGCCGCCAGCCACCACTTACACGCGGCCGGCGCCCTCTCGCGGCAAAAGGGTCGAGCGAGCGGGCAGAGTCGCGATGTCTGCGCACCCGCGTGCCGATGGGCGGCACACGCAGCGGAGAGAGGCCCTGTCACGCCGCCAGTAGCGTTCCGCACTCCCCACGCCACCAATTGCCGCCTCAGGGCGCCAGCCACCTCGTCTTACACGCGGCCGGCGCCCTCTCGCGGCAAAAGGGTCGAGCGAGCGGGCAGAGTCGCGAGATGTCCCTGCGCACCTGGGTGTTCGCCGCCTATATGCTCTATCCTGTGCCAAGACGGACACGTTTTGACAATCAAAATCTACCTCAAAATTTGCGGCCGCCCCTCGAATGATTGTGAATGAGCTTGCCAGCGGCGAGGGCGGTCGAGTGCACGGAGCTAAGTGCCTCGCCGTCCTCGCGGGAGTCGCTTAGGCGGCTCCAGTGGTGTACCTGTGTTAGTGCCAGTGCGCGCCAGTCCCGTGCCCAGTGTTGTGCGAGGGAGTTTTGTTGTAAAATTCTTTTCCTAGTTGGGTTGTAAAATTCTTTTCTACTAGAAGCCGTCGTCCGCGCTTTGCCTGTTGTGTGAATTGTGCGTGTGCGAGGGAGTTCTTTGTAGAATTCTTTTTTGAGCTAGACTTCGATGTTAATAGAAACAAGCGAAGGCACACACAACATGACGCCAAACACACGCGATTGCACGCACCGCACCGCACCCAGCACCCGCGCCCGCCGCGCCCCGGCCCCCGCCCCGCCCAGGTGGGAAAGAGACGAGGAGATGGAACAGCCCGAGGAAAGGAGCGAAACAAACACGTATGGGAGGTTGAAATCGTGCACCACGCTGCCCGGCGTTTCTCACTTTCCGGGACAGCCCCGCCCTTGTGAGGCAGGAAAGTGGCGGATACCCCGTACGCCCAGTCCACTACGACCCCCTCGCCGACCGCCCATCCCCCCTCCCCTTCTCCAACCTCGACGAGCCGATGACTGTTGCCTCTGCCCTGCGTGCCCCCGAGCCCCCCCCCCTCCCCTTGGAGATAGTCCCCGGTGGGTGGATCCACATAGTCCATCCGTTGTCAGTGCTCGCTCTCATCATCGTCGCGTGGACATGTAAGTGAATAGGGATTTCTGTCGTCGCACGTCAGCGCCGGCCCAGTTTGTCAAATGAAACTCCGGGATTAGCGGAAGAGCTCTCTCC